GAGCCGAGCCGAGCCATGGCCACCTGGCGGCGGGACGGCCGGGTGACCGCCCTGCAGCGACTGGGCTGCGCCGGGCTGGCGGGAGCGCTGAGCCTCAGCCTGACGGCGCCGCTGGAGCTGCTGACGGTGCTGGCGCAGGTGGGCACCTGGCACTGCCGGCGGGGGCTGCGAGGAGCCGGGCAGAGCCTGTGCCGAGCCGAGGGGCTGCGGGCCCTCTGGAAGGGGAACCTCACCGCCTGCCTCCGGCTCTTCCCCTACAGCGCCCTGCAGCTCGCCGCCTCCCGCCGGTAAGCCAGCGGGGCCCCGGGACGGGACGGGGGTCCGCGGGGAGGGGGTGCCGCTCTCCCTCCGGCCTTTCGTGCCCGGAACGGGAGAGGAGGGGAGGAGAAGTGGAGGCGCTTAGTCCGCGGGGGCACGGGGATGTCTGTGGCTCGGCTGCCTGGCTGCCCGGTTGCGCGTCCCCTCTCCCCAAGGACGCGTACCCTGGCCGGTCGCTTCGTTTATTTCGCTTATTCGGCAGGCAGCGAGTCTCGGTGCCAGGCGATATGCCAGAAGCCGCTTATAGAGTCGGAGGTGTTCTTCGGTTGATAGTCTGTTAAATCGCTTCTGCTCCGCCAGATTCCTTTAGAAAGGAAGTCACAGCGCTGCCCGCAAACGCGACTGCGGCATCTGTTCTTTGCAGCCAATTTATTTTATTCGTTTATACGCTCTCAAGTACTTATATCGTCTGCGGCAAAGAAAGTAACAGCAAAATCATGATTCAAATTTTTCACCCTATTATGCAAATTCGATCGGGTTTGAAGCCGATCTGTGACACTGTTTGTTTCAAGACCTTGTTTTCGGTGATACACAGACATTAAATTAAGGTAAACACTGGAAGGACTGCAGCAGGATCAACATGGAGCGGCGCTGCCTGAGCTCTGCCAGCCCGCGCTGTTTCCTAGGATTCCCTTTTGCTGCCTCTATCTTTCAGCCTTGGAGAGGAGCGCCTGACTGCTTGCACACACCAGCATGTTTTGCCACTTCCAGAGTTGGGTTTGTTTCTTTTTCTTTTTTTTTTTTTTTATTAAGGTCAGCTGTGCGCATGGTATGCACTTGACATTTCCGCCCAGCTGGGCGATGGGTTATTCCAGTTCGTGGGCCGTGCCGAGTGGGGAGAACCATGGGCTCAGCCCACGCTGGCCAATCCGGCCCGCTGCCGCCCTGGCCCGGGCTGACGCTGCGCAGCCTGCTGGGGTTTGTCACTCATCTGGTGAGCAAGAGTCATCCTCCCGGCTCTGCCCGCGCCTTTTAGGAAATGATAGACGAGAGCGACCCTGGAACCGGGCAGCTTTGTCGCGTCCTTCTGCTTGTAATGCACGCGGTGGTCAAACAAGGGGAGGCGTAATAATGGCAGCGGGAAGGCAGAAACAGTGATTTAAATGTAAAGTTCCCAGAAGAGTCGGTGTGTTGCACCAGTATGAACCAGTGGATTTTGAGCAAAGTCACTACCTTAATTGTTCGTTCGGCTTGAAAGGGTGCCTTCCCTTTGCAAGGCTGTAGTTTGTCTCTAGTTTGCTCACGGTGTTCTTTTGAATTACAAGTGGAAGTAGGCTACCAGGAAATTAAATAAAAGCAGCCTACACGTATTTCTTGATACCTTATTTGGGGATTTTTTTAATGTATTTTCTAGTGGGAGAATGGTGTATATAAAGGCAAGAAACGCAAAAAGAGAAATGTTTCACGGTAACTGAAGTAAATAGTAATGCCAGCTGCAGAAGGACCTGGGCTGAGCACAGTCAGCAGCCCCAGGAATGGCGGTGCGGGGGGAGCCGGCTGGGGAAGGGGGGGGTTAGCTGACTCTGCACTCCCTCTGGGGTTACTGTGCACAGACTCTGTCTTTCCGTGGCAGTTTTAAATGTTATCTGGGTAGAGCCTTAGAGACACCCCACCACCCTCCCCACACATCTGTGCACGGACAGGAAAATCAGGCTGCGTTGCTTTAGGGACTGTACAAGACACACAGGAAAAAAAAATTGTATCCTTTCACTTCTGCTTGGCTAGTCTTTGTGCTCTGGGCTCTCTCCAGGGCACGAGACAAGTAGATGCAGGGATCTGTCATGCGGTGGAAAATGCATGCTCATGTGAAAAAACATCAACTGAGCAAGCAGTGACTTGCAAATCTTTGCAAATTATTTTGTTCTGGACGTGGTAACACTGTGTAGTTTAAATGTAAATCTGCTGTTTAGGCAGTTTAGTTAATACTTCCAAAATAGAATAATAAGTTTCTTTACCACGAGCTAAGAGTCTCCTCTCAAGTCTTTTTACGTGCTTCTTGCTGCCTCCATGACACTTCTTCCTGATGTAGGAGGGCCCTGCGAACATAGAAAAGTCCTTCTGTGCATCATGAATGCGCGAGTTGTAGGTTAGCCTTTAAAACTCTGTGCTTCAATTTCAAAATTTCAAATTTAGACTTAACCTCCTGAGCATAATAGTACCTGGGCAGAAGTCTTCTCTGGAGAAGTATCCCTGCAGACCTTTGTGTCCCAACATAAGCAACAGAGGAAGGTTCAGTTGTTCTGGGAAGGCCTATGATGACGTTACCTATGTATTTCTTCTTGAAATGATAACTTTGGGGGGCTGAACCAATGTATCTAACTGATGACCGATGATCAGAGAATTTCTTGCAGATGTGTTTTAAGTCACGGTAATTTTCATCCTGTAGATGGAAATACAAATGAGGATTCTGTGGTCAAAAATTACTTTAAAAGTCTCTTGCAAAGCAAACAAGTAAATAATTTGAACAGTTAGTCTCCGTATCTTTAAAGAATTTTTTCATTGTTGAACTGGTGCTCTGCACCTCCAGCATGGTACCACAACTCAAGCTATGTGAGCTTAGTCGGTGCTGAGAACTGCGGTGCAGGTAGGGCTATGCAAGCTGCCTCTACAAAAGGCCTTTCAGGTACTGGAAGTATTTTAGGTCAGTAACACTAAAATCAAAGCAAATTCCATTTGCAGAGGTTTTTTTTCCAGTCCTTGGCTTAATTGTTAACTATAACTTTTGCATTTCTGCACTTATGTGCAGCATGGATTTACCCAAAATCTCTTTGGGCTCTTAGGCATGTTTTCTGGACTCTGCTCATGTTTGTCTGTTCACATGTTCTGTTTCACAGAGGTTCTAATGCTTGTGTGGTGTTATATATAGTAAGGTCTTGGATGAAATACATGTTAAACTTTCAACTCCTGCTGCTGAAGGGGCTTGTGGGCAGAACAACAATTACATTGAGAATAATCTGCCTTAATTTTTCATGTCTTCTGTTTGTACTGCCATTAATAGTACCTCTTTTATGTGTTTACTCTAGACTTGTTATACTTTTCACGGATGAGTTGGGTCATATCTCCCACTGGAGAGCCATTATGGCAGGAAGTCTGGCTGGCATGGTTGCAACCATCGTGACTTACCCCACTGATGTAATTAAAACACGGCTCATTGTGCAGAACCGTCTGGAACCATCTTACGAAGGAATTCTTCATGCTTTTTACAAAATTTATCGTCAAGAAGGACTCCTTGCACTCTACCGTGGTGTTTCACCAGCTATATTAGGTAAAATAGTAATGGGGGAAAATCACTTCATTGCACATTGTTTATTGCAGCTGTGTAGTTCTGCATTCATTTGCTCACCTGATATCAAAAGCAGATAGTAATGTTCTTCTTTAGAAGGTATGTAGATTTACAAGGCACAACAATACTGACTACCTCTGCTGCCGCTTTATTGCTTCAGATTATGACCAAGTGCGTAGCATTTTATGTATGGTTAAGTGTTCAACAAAATACTCTTTTCCTTCTTTTATAGATGATATAGTTGTGCTCGGATGCAAGATTTCCGCCATTTAACTCTTTTTAAAAAAAAATAAACATACACACACACACACAGTGTTCCTAATTCCTGTCTGGGTGTGAGAGTGTCTCCCTAGCTGTTCAGTGAAACCGGTATGAGCAGTAATATATAACTGATGTGAAAAGATTAGTGATAATCTCTCTTTACATTAAATGACTTTTTAATTATTTATTTACTCTCCATAGCTTTTAAAAATGCCATTTAACTTTGAGTCCAGTCTTTCACAATATGACATTATAAAAAAAGCACATAATAATGTATAATCCCACTATAAAATTGATGAGAGCATGAAACAAGCGAAAGAGGACAGAAGTATCCCTTATCAGCTTGACTGGAGAGGCAACTCTGTTTACCCATACAGCTGCTAGGGTTGGGTTGAATGGGAGAAAGAGCTTGTCACAAAAGAGAGAACCTGGAGAAAGAGCTGACCTGTCATGAGGCTAAAGCAGCTAATAATTCTGACAACATGCATGTTTTAATACGTAAATATATGCTCCTATCAGCACATCTAGATCCTACAATATGGGTGTTTGGTGGTAAACCAGTGACTAAAAAGTAACATTCTTCAAAATATTGATTGGGTTTGAGCAATGTGAGGTGTAAACTGGCAGCATCTCATCCCATCTTTCTAGGCTATGTGTTGAGCCGCTCTGTTTTCTTAGTGTACAGTGTGTTGATATAAACCTGTCTGGTTTGCTTTCTAGGTGCTGTCCCATTTTCTGCGGGCTCATTCTTTGTTTACATCAATCTGGACAAAATCTGGCGACAACCCATAGTTCATTTCACTCCTCTTCAGAACTTCATAAACGGCTGTGTAGCAGCTGGTGTGGCACAGACACTTTCTTTCCCCTTTGAGACTGTCAAGAGGAAGATGCAGGTACAGAGCACTCGTGTTATTAGTACTTTGTTATAGGTGCTTGTTGCAGGAGCCTGGGACAAGACTAGCCAGATGATCATGAGTGCCACTTTATTTCTCTTACCAGTAGGCTACAGAGACTTTGTTTTAGATTGGTTGGAGTTTGGGGTTTTTTGGTTTGGGGTTTTTTGGTGGGTTGGTTTGTTTGTTTGTTTTGTTTTGTTTTGTTTTGTTTTAAAGTCTGAAAATTATTGTTACAAGTGTGTTGTTACACTTTTAAGGTGGGTTCGAGTACTATCATGGGATATATGTATACTCTCAGAGTCTATGTCTTTAGCTTTATTTCTTTTCTTTTTCATAGCAATTCCATCAAATTCTCACAGTTCAGAATTGGCAAACCTTCAGGCAAATACAGGCATTCAGCCCCCTCGGTGGCAGGCAGGATGAATGAGATCCATGTCAATTTTCAGCGCCTGTGTGTCTGCCATTTATGCCTGATCTACATAATGGCAACCACAAGAAACTTGCACAGCAGATATTAAGTCTGAAGTGTCAGAACTATCCTCATTCTTATTTCTGACTCCTCTGGTTAACAAGTGACTTCCCAGTTGCTAGTGCTGCTGCTTTCCTGGAGCATCAGCAACATGAGTTACTATATCAAGTTACTATATCGTTTTATATTATCTTGCTGATCCGTTCTCCTGAAAGTTGAGTAATAATGATCTAAAAAAAAACCCAAACACAAAATAACCACTGCCCCACAGCTTCCATCTCACTCACATAATTCATTTGATGATGTTGACTTTTCATTAGAACTTCATCAGTAGAGGGACAGTGAATAGCTGTCATCATCTGGTGGCTCTCTGGCTGGGGCATATGAATTTGTTCTTTCAGCTTAGTTCATGGGACTGCAGATTTATAGGAAGCTTTTGTGATCTTCGAAAAAAAGCCGTCATTTGGTGTGGCAGCATTATGTAGATCCCCGTCCCACTCATCAAGTGGTAGCCTGGGTGATAAGTCACAAGCTAGCGAAAGGTCAGTGAAACTGTGAATTCCCCTCTCTAGGTTCCCTCTTCAGACAGGGTTCAGATCCAGTGGCACAGAAGCCTCGTTGCCCTCTCTCCATCTTGTAACAGAGGACCTGAGCAGGAGGAGTAATGTCTTTTATTAGACCAGCTCATGTAGCTGATGTGTCCAGAAGTCAAGCTTTAAGCTGAGCCCTTTCATCAGGTATCTCATAAAATGTCTCACGTGAGAAAGAGATTCTGAGTATGAAAACTTGATCGTTTTTCCAGCCGTATCAGTGGGTCTAAGAAAAGCAATTACTCCATACAAGTCCTCTTTTTCTGTATATCCTTAGGCTCACAGCAATACTGTTGCCCTAAAGAATAAAGAAAAGAAAGACATTTACAGTGCTGTTTCCCTTTTAATATTTTCTGTCAATACATCCGTTACTTGAACATTCAGTTTTTGTAATCAGTTCAAAAGCAACTTTCAGATGTAACTGGTGTGATGTCAAGTTCTGTGTCAAGCTTTGTCTTGACAGGCAAGTAGAGAAGTGGAACAGGCCCATCTTTCATTTTCCTGCCACTAGGTTGTACTCTTTCACCAAAGGGATGCCTAAAACATCTGATTGGCACTTCTAGAAATGAGAAGTGAACTGGATTTATTGCCTAAATATGTAGGAAGTGGATATGCTAAAAATACTTTGGAGAGAAAGAAGGCTTAACAACAGAGAGCTTTTTTTTCCTCATAGGTGCATTGCAACAACTGAATAGTGATTTTCCAAGCTTAGAGGAACACCTCCTGTTCAGGGATTTATTCTGAAGGCAAGGGAGAAGGCAAGGGTGTTTCAGAAGAACTAGCTGCCTAGGTGTGAAAGCCCGTAATTTGTTTGGTACTGGAAATTGTGTAAGTCACAGAGGCCTGTCCAGAAGAGAGACCTGTTGAAAATCACACCCAAGCTGATACTAAGAGCTCACTGGAACTCATGTAAGCTCATCCAAGAAGTTTGTTTTTCACAGTTAGCACCAAGGTATGGCCCAGCTTTGCAGGGATCAGCTCTGCTTTGTGCTTACTTGCTGGCCTGTTCGGTTTGCAGGGTGGTGGTCAGAAGAGAGAAATGTCTAGGACAGCACCAGAAAAGGTATCATGAAAGGGACCTAGAAAGGGGGAGAATAAAGAAGGGGGGAAAAGAGCTTCAAGACATTTCAGTGTTCTGTAGGAAACAGGGGAGCAGATATGTCTGATCACAGTTTTCTCGGACATCATATTCCGCTCAGCCTCCATTCAGTGATTCACCTTTCCAGCTGACAGAAAGAGGGGTGTACAAAGCCTTCAGCTACCCCTGGGCCTGGGGTGGGTGCTCTGCAGTGCACGTAGGGAGATGCTGGCTTTGCTTTGAAGCAATGAACGCTGGTTTCGTCTACAAAGAAGAACCCAGCACGTTGCGGACGTTGGTATCGGATTCTTCTTCCTTCCCTTCTGTCCCACTGATCTGACGGGTGGAGACAGTATTTTGCCCAAGAAGACTTTTCCAGTGAATCTATTGGTGATGGTGAACCAGGGAGTTGTAAGGCAGTCTCAGGAGCTTCAGAAACTGAGAAACTAGGACACAAGGCTGTCTCCTCTGATTCTGGGATGGAGTACAAGCCTGAGACCAGAACATCCAGTTCAGATCTTTACCTGACATGCTAGGCAGTCTTGGAAGGGTTAGCTCCATCCATCTGCTCACCTAGACAATGCTTGAATTGTTTGCGCAGACTAAAAAATGAATTCTGCTATGGGAGGAAGGATAAGGTATTATTTTTAATCTCAGTTGTAATAATTTTGTTTCATCCTTTCTCATTTTATATATCTGAATCCTACACTTCTGATGTCAGCAGCTTCTGTCACTGACATCTGTGGGAGTAGGAGCTGACTGTGAGTGAACAATTCTTCCTCTGTGTTTTGGTGATGATTTATGATGTCGGATTTGCTCTGTAACCATGGCTTCTTCCCCCTCTGCCATTAGGATTATCTTTATCATGTTTACTTTTTTTTTTTTATACAAAGATGCTGTGTTGCTAAATATACTTGAACATTTTTCTTAAAAGAAATGTTAATTAATATGAGTGAGTCTTACTGAATATGTGAGTTCTCTATGTTGTGCTTATCCTAATTTTATTCCTTTGTCTTCCTTTTTTCACTTTGCTCCTGATTGGCATGTTAGAGAATGAAGAGGTACTGTATGCATGTTTTGGCATGGAAATATGGCTTTTGTTGTGCATCTGCAGAAGGGGATTAGTGAAGGAGAGGGTTATTCAAAGGGATGTTCTATATCAAATGCTTTCCTGACTCACTCTTATGCTGAACAAAAACTTACTGATCTTTATATCCTTTTGACTGTTATTCTTGGCTTTCCTTCCTTACTTCACAATATCATGATCTTAAATCCAGTATCTAAGCAATATTCAAGTACTGCACTTTTACCTTGTAGACTTGCATACAAGAACACTTTTTTTTTTTTTTTTTTTTAACCTTAAGCAGAGAAATACTTGCCTATGAATGAGTCTGGTTCTAAGGGAAGCACTGATAATATTTTTCCACTTCCCCACATCATCTTTTTGCCTATGATGACCTTCATGAGTGCATATTGGACTGAGCTCTGGCATTACAGCAAGGGAAGATGAATTTAGAGCTGTTATATGCCATACAGAAGATTATTATTAGAATGACACCGATCCCAGGCTATGTGTGGAACTGAAAATCTACAAACATGCAAATGGTCAGCACAAACCTAATACCCAAGTTTGGCGCTTCCCTCTGTGCACATGACCCTCAGAAGTAGGCTCAGATACCCCTGGCTGGTACTTCTCGGCCTTCGTTCCAAATTGCCCCGTGACTTTGGTAGTTTTGTTAGGCAAAATGCACAAAGATGACCCTGAAGTTTCACAGATACTCTGTCAACTGTACAGTTAGTCCTCATTTGCTTACATGAACAAATTTTGTATGGCTTGCAGAAGCTCAGTCCTGCCCCCATATTTTGATGGGATAATGTGTTTCAATTTCTGTGACTAAAACTCGTCTGAAACTCCTTTGCCAGTAAATGCTACTCAGGTATAGCTTTACCATCAAACCCTTGTAATATAGAATAAGCATACTTAGTATACTGCAGGATTCACCACATTTTTGGTGTTGACTGCACAGCATCCTCAAGTTATGAGGACATCTCTCCAGGGAAAGCATTGTTCAGTAGCAATCTTTCTGTTTTAAAATCCAGGCTTTGAATTCCCTTCACTGCCTTAAACAAACAGGGTCACTGTTCTTGGTTAGTGTAGACTGTTGCTGTGCATCACACAAGAAGTGGCCTCTCTTCAGTGACAAAAGTGAATTGGTTAGGTCTCGGCTGCCTATAAATCTGCAATGTGGTTTGGGGTTTTTGTTGGTTTTTTTTTTGTTTTTTGGAACACAAGATGCTCTGCAAGTGTGAAATCTGTGGTAAATTACATAAATGCTATGAGTTCTTAGTAACCTGGAGAAAACTCAACAGTTACTCCCTTTGTGAGGTGGCCTGTATAAAATAAGTGCAATCTTGTGCCCTGTTGGTGCATTTCTAGTCTGTTAAAGGAGCAACTGAAGTCTCTCTTTAAAAGTGATACTGTTATTTAAGTATTTATTTAAAATTAGTCCCCTAACTACGTTCCTTGCATCGTAAAAGTCAGTCTAGCAAGAACCCAGTGGCTGGGTTATAAACAAAGCTTTGGAAAAGAAAATGATAAATGTTCATTAGAAAAGCACCTTCTCCCTGCTGAAATGAGGAGATAGTGCTCCTGCGTTGCTTAAACATGAGTAACTTGCGGAGAGTGCTCTGTCACTGGAGATAGTCACTGGTGCTGGTATGGCAGCCTCTGAAAGCTCTCAAGCTGTGGCGTCCCTGCTGTTTGTGAGATCTGTGTTCTGGTCAGCTGGGAATATGAAAGTTATTGGAGTCATGACCTGGTTTAAAAATAAGAAATCCTTTTTGGGTCATGTGGTTCACA